AAATGTACAACCACAGGCTGGGCCCATTAAGAGACCAAAGAGGTTGCTAACTCTTGGGAAATTAAATGTTTTATATAAATAATTCTGAAAATAAAAATGTTAGACACTAAGACATGCCCTTCAAAATTATTAAAAGTCAGACTAAAACAAATTAACGAGTACAAACACAGAAACTAAAATCTCAGCTGATGGAACTGGATGCTGAATTACCAGCTCACTTGCATATGTTTGTACTGTTCACTGAATAGCAGAGACTGAAAATAAATATTCTCAGTTTATCTCTGTTCCATCATCATGGCACCCATCATATAGACACATGTTTGTAAAAATCGGATGAAGAAGAATCAATATTCAAAGTAGCTACCCTGTGAGGCAGCAACAGTAACTCATAGGAAGGAGTGACCGCTCAGAAATGATTATCAGAGGGGACTGTGAACGGTCACAGCTGCTGTGGAAGTGTGAAGACCTTTCTGCATTTATTAAGCTGATAATTTCTGAAGAAGCAAGGCAAATAATTGTGATGTGTGTTCCTAAAGAAGCTGCAGTGTAACTTCTGTCTGGCTAATGAGGTGTTCTGGCAGCAGTCAACCAGCTTTGGTCCCTATACAGGATGGTGTATGGTTTTTCAAAGAATCTAGTGGAGAAGTTCTACAGACTAAAGGTCAGAAATCCTGCACTATTGGAAAGGCCAGCTGAAAGTTCTCTTCTGTTTATCCTATAGTAATCCTTAGGACATTCAACAAGGCTGGAAGATGTTTTGACTTGTAGCAGGAGCCAAAAGAATGAAAGTTCCCCCCCGATCGTGATTTTGGAAGTGCAAGATCCAGATTTCTGCACCCAGGATGAAGCCTATCCATTTATCAAATAATGTCACAATGTAAAATGCAGAGTGCATCTTGGCAACACTTATCCTTCTCAAGCTTTGCCAATCTGGAACTAGATGGGAGCAGAAGATTGACAGGGCCTAAATGAGCAAATGTAAAGAGGTAACTGACTGTGTAGTCCAGTGACAGTTTCCTAAGAAAAAAACATGTCATAGGTCATAATTATTATTTTTAACCAAAGACAGTGCAAGGTAAAATGCAAAATGAGCTGTGGGAAGCAGAGACTAAACCCAAGACCCCCCGGGCCCAGGCATGGGCATTGTCCACCAAGCTATAGGTGCTAAGAGAACCATGCATCAGCCTCTCTATTTGAAGTTGTGACATGGGACAGACAGGAATGAGAGACATAATAGGCCAGAATAGGAGGCTTTCAGAAGGAGTTGGGCTTTTTATAGCCTAGTGGTGTCATTAAGCCAGTCTGTCTGCTGCCCATCTTCCCTAGAACAGAAGGTTGTGGGTTCTGCGCCTGCACGTGGCTTCTGTCTGCTTCCGACTTTGTCATCATTGTTGAAGAAAAATGATGTAGTAATCACTGGGAGCCTACACTTGCAGTACAGGCATCAGAATTACCTCTCTGCAGGGAGAGAGATGCTAATCAACTCCTTTTCTTCATCGCTTAGTTGGGAGGGGAAGGGGAGTGTCGGTTATAGCCACATTGGTCTAAGGACATAGGCAGACAGGGTTATTTGGGCAAATGTGATATATTTTATTAAACCTGTTTTATTAGACCAATATTTTATTAGACCAATGTTTTCTTGTTTGCCTAGGTCCTTAGACCAACATGGCTACAATCAACACCCCCGAGTGATGAAGAAAAGGAGTTCATTAACCTCATATAGATGTTGTGGACTGTTTTGTTACACTAGTGTCATTAGATGCCTCACTTGAGTAGGAAAGACTTTAGCCAAAACTGTTGTGCCACAAATCTAGCCTGAACTCCTTTAGTAGAACTGAATAGAGAAAGTTATTTTCTGAGCTGTCTACAGCCAGGCAGCATAGTTATCTGCTGACACTAGCAACAAGTTGGGGGTAGCAAAAAAGAAAATTTAGAAACATATTATGCTGCAGCAAACATTGCTTTGTGTTGTTGTTATTCTTCTTTCTGTTTCCTTCACCATAACTACATGTTTTTATTAGACTAATAGATCAGTTAGATATGATAGATAAATATGATATCTTTTATTAAACCAAATAACCTTATATTTACACAAGGTTACACAAATAACTTTATCTTTTCTTTACCATGAAATTCAGATATATCCCAAATTTACAAAGGAGAAGTTACGAGAAATAAACATAAGCCCAACTACTAGATGTAAAACACCTCTAAATGCTGAGTTCCTCCAAATCTAGATCTCAATTTACATAAGTTAGGCTGTTATATTCAGTTATTTAATCATACAGTTTCAAGAAAATGTGTCTGTAAATGGTGGTTATAGCTACAAAAGTGGCTAGTTTCATACATGGGGCAATTCCTCCTGGGTTCTGTTCTTTCTACATAGCATATGTGTGACACTAATGGCAAATGCATGTGAGATACTGTTGTAGGAAAACTGGGCCTGTTGTATCTTTCAGGCAAATTCTGTTTTCTTAAGTAAGGAAAATAATTATCTCCCCCCCACACCAGTACCAGTATCAGAACCAAACAACTTACAACGTTTTATTCTGCATATAAGTAAGTTAGCAATTCCGTTTCCTGAACCAACAGTAAAATTGGCAGCAAAGTTCTGAATCTACAGTCATTAGGGATACAGAATAAAAGTAGAAAGGAGCCTGTTTTCCAAGACTGTGCTTGCAGAGCTGGCAGTTAGTAAAATCTTATTCTGACTTGTGAACTGAGCAAATTTGATATGGGAGTCACCAAGGGAGAGCACAATACATATGGAACAGTAGGGTTTCCTTTTTTTACAGTTGACTGTATTTTTCAGCTCATAACAAGCACGCTTTACCATCCAACTTTAACGTTATTGTTCAGTATCTCCTACATTTACGGAGTCTGTTATTTTCAAGCTCACTGTATTGAACATATATTGATCATATTCAGGACCCTGTTGAAGATTTTCAATCTCAAGCTGAAGATAAGGGCAGATCCCAATTGTATGAAATAGCATTTTATGACAGCTGGACATTCTGTCTATCCTACCATTACCACTGTAACTCAACATCTTGCATTATTTTGATATAGATTCTTCACAGTGTTGTGAAGTTGCCAAGTAGTACTGACCCTATTTTATAGATGGGAGAAGGAGGCACACAGAAAGACAGTGAATTATTCAAGGTTATACAGGCAATCTGTGATACAGCAGGGAATGAAACCCAGATCTCCTGAGGGTTGGCTACTATCCTACTAATTGGCCCATCCTCTGCTTGAACTTTTAGCTATTCAAAGCAATAGTCTGTGAACATTCTCTGGGGTCAGCATTACCCTCCCAGATTTAAATTAAATTAATTCACTCAGAACAGTAGCACCAAAATGTTGCATGTAGAGTGAATTCAAATACATAAGGCACAAACAGAAAAAGCAGCTACCAGTGTGAGGCCACCGACTAGGTATCTTCACTACACATAGTGAAATATTTAACTTTTCTTTGGGTTTTTCTCTTTTTCAAGGTAATAGCTAAAATTCTCATAGTTGTAAATAGTGGCTAGATTTACGGCTCTTGTTTAAGATCCCAGCTCTTTTACATGTTTCTTGTGCTTCAGTCTCTCTTTAAATTCATTTGCTTTGCTTCATTCTAAAAAGCTGCAGCATCCCTTTCTGAAGCTGCCTTATAAATGCAATCCAAAACATTAATTTTATTATGTACAGCGTGCATTGCAGTGTTGCTCCTTCTTTCACTATTTGTATCCTCAGGTGTGTAGTATGTTTGAAAACATTGCCATACATCAGGATTATTGTATTTCTCCTGATCTGAAAAAAACATGTGGGGCTGGTGAGTTGAAGCCTGAGGGAATCATTTATCAAATCTTTTCACTTTTTTTTTTCCAAGCAACAGAAGCAACTAATCTGCAAGGAAGTATTTAAATGATGAAAGAGATGCCAAGGATCATCATGCTATTTTAAAAGTGTTGGAAATATGTTCATTCTTCTTGTACTCTCTCTTACCCCCATGGCTTACAGATAATTACCTTTTATCTGCATTGCATCTTTAGACTCCAGTGTGCCTACAAGCCAAAGTATTCAAATTCACCGCATCAAGTACACGCAGTAACCGTGGTATTTTCCTGTCCTTAGATCAGAAGACATTACTGTATCTTGATTAAAGAGGAATGGCACATGATATGTTTTTAATAACAACCCCTGTACTTTAACAGACATCATTTGAGGTTCAAAGTCCCGCTCAGTTAAAATTCAGCTTATCTACAGACAGGTTTTCAACCTGTGGTCCATGGACCCCTGGGGGTCTATAGACTATGCTTAAGGGGTCTGCAAAAGATGACCATGATCAATCAAAGTACGTGAATATCCACACTTACAATTGAAAGGGTTCTGCACCTCCATTCAATATTTTTAGGGGTCCACCAATAAAAAAAAAAAGGTTGAAAACCACTGGTTCAGAGTACAGCTTTCAGGAGATGCTTTTAATTTCTAGTCATGTTCTCCAATGTAAAGAGTAGGAATTTGGAGCTGAAATGAGGAACACTGTTACTAGTCTAAGTCTATAACTTTTAGCATACCTGTCCAAAATGAGAGCACAAGACCATTTCTATCAGGCACTGAGTATATTTTCTGTCTGTCAGTGCTCTGAGTATACTGTTGTCATGTATTGGCTGCATCTTGCCTTGACTGTAAATTCCTTAGAGAGCTGGAATGATTTCTTACTAGAATGTCCAGCACCAAGAAACCCTAATAATTTCTGGGGCTTTCCAGCATAACAGTAACCATAAACCTGGCTTGTTAATGACTGCTAACATTTCAAACCTGAGTCTGAGAGTCCAGAGCAAAAATTTTCAAATGGCCCCCAAACTATAATGGGCTGAATTGGCTTCCCAGATCTCAACACCTCTCAGATGAATGGCTGGATCTGAACTTGACATATTCCCTGCCTCTCCTTTTCTCTCTTTCTGTGTCTCTGTCTCTCTCTTTCTATTCAAATTGTAAGGATCCACACTTACCTATGAGGACAGAACTCCCAGCGTTTAGAGTCAGTCTTGATCCTGAAGGAGAGGTCATCACTGAAGTAACACCTGGCTCTGTGACTAAAAGCATTGTTGTCAAGTCTTCTAAATGAAGGAGGGGTCGTGGGGGGTCTGGAAATAAATTGAGAGATGGAGATGATGAGCAAGGCTATAACAGGGAAGCACTCAAGGACATTAGAAACCATCCCTCCTATTTTTCATTGTTTTGAAACAGCAACATTTCAAAGGATATGTATCAAGTGGTGTGGGTGCCTGATGTACCAGGTAGGTGCAGCAGTATAGATGCAATTAAAATAATATCTAATGTCAGGCATAAGCCAACAATAGCCAAGAAATTCTTTAAGGCTACTCTGCCATCCTTGATTCTTGTGATGAGGCATAATAGCAGATGTTGTTTTCTAGCAAATACAGTCACTCAGAACAAATGGTAAACTCACACAGCATAGCTACTGTTAATACACAGGTGATATCTGGTGACCCAGAGTTGTTTCCACTATTTCTTTTTCTTGAGCAACTGAAAAATGGTTTGCCTACAAATGATCCTGAAGCACTGGGAGTAATTTTGCATCTTTAACAAAAAAGTGAGTTTTTTCTGGGACATATTTGTTCTGAAACCAAATGGGAATTATGATCTGGGAGGTTTTCTTTTTTAAATATATGAATATAGTTTTTAGACTTAGTTTTTAGGGTTGGTCTGAAGTCACAGGTATTCCATGTGAACACTAGAAGGGCTTTAGCACTGCCCTTAAGATTGTGAGAAAGTTCAGCTTTAAAATCTGTTTCTAAGGCAGCAGCATCCACAGTGCCTAGACTTGCCTTGAAAGTTGAGTCTTAGCTGTGAATCAAAGGAGGCAATATGCGAAGGCATGAAAACTGACATCTGGGACAGATACTTTGTAAATGCACTGTTGCAACAACGTATGTACAAAGTTACAAAACATGCACACTTAATTACTAGGCATACAGTAGCATTTACATTATCTGGCTGGATCTTTCATCTCCCAGACAGTGGGAAAAAACACAGATGGGTCATTAGGGAGGAAAATCCATCAACAGGCACAATAAATTAGCCCTGTGTAACACTTCCACCTGTGCTTGAGGCCTGACCATGTCTTTCCAAACTCACCCAGCTAAACTTTCGGCCTGCTACAATGAAACCCAAGACAAAGTACACTTTTACTGTTTTATAAAATTGCACAGGGTTTATGCATCAGTTAGTGAGGCGTGAAATTGGTCAGTGTCACTTAGTGATTTATAAGAGTGGCTGCTTGTCAGAAGTGGTGTGGTATACAGGGCAGAGAGCTACTACCTTCCTTTTGGGAGTGCCCGTTGGGTGCATGTTTGACAGTTCTTTGCTTGGCCATAAAATCTAAATGTGCAAGAATTAAAAATTAGTATTCTTTTTTTTTTCCCCCTGATAAAAGTTTTTTTCTTCCCCAACTCCCAAGATCTTGTTCCTGGTTTGATGGCCTGTGCTGCAAATACAATTGGAATGTATTCCTTCTCCAGAGAATAAGGATACTTAGTCACTCTTTCCTCTCTTATGCTCCCTGATTAGTTCAGCATAGTTAGAAGTCTGCAGGGGTGCAGGTGATGTTAATCCTGTAAAAGTAAGGACAAGAAGTCCTTCCAAGGCAACATGTATTCCTGTGGCTTACCAAGAATCATCAGCTGCGTACTCTCAGTCACTTCCCCATGAAGATTGACTGCCTTGCAAGAGTAGAATCCCTGATCAGATAAAGATGCATCTACAATCAGCAGCGATCCATCATGTAGATGGTGTGGAGGGCCCAGCTGGATCTGATCCTTGAGCCAAGCAACTTCTACTTCAGGTACACCTGGAAAGGCAGTGGCAAGGGTGGGGCAGGGGGAAAGGTATAAGATGCTGGATGACAATATTTCCATTAGGGACAGACAAAGCATTTGGCATAGAATAATCATATCAAGCTTTTGTACCCTACTTGTAGCCCAACAATTTTTAATGTTCAAGAGAGTTTGGTAATTTTTTTTTTACTTCATCTGTCTACATTTCCTAGAGCTACTTGAGAATGCAATCAAAGGCCACATACTTTTTTGAAAGTGGCTTTTCCACCAACACTTACCATCTGACTAGAAGCAAACAGCATCATGTGAAATCCCAAGAAAAAACAATGCTTTTTGGTCCAACTCATCAGAAGGAAGGGGCATGCCCTCTTACATAGGTTTGTTTCATGTCACAATCTAACATGAGAGCAATCTATGCAGGATACAACATATCCCCCTGCAACTCCAAAATGGAGGACTCTCATTTTCATTCAAAGGTTTCTAAGAAATGCCACTGTAGGCTATTCTGCACTGCACAGTACTGTGCAGACAGAGAATGAAAGGGTAAATCATTTTAAGCAGTTGGTCTACTGGAGCTGCCTTTTGCTATGGAGTAATTCAGATATCCATATGTTTGACTCAAATTTCAGTAACTTGCTAACCTGATCCAGAAGTTCCCCACATTTTGCATAGCATGGCACACATCTGAATAGAGCAACCGTTTCGTGGCCACAAACATGTTCATGTACTGTGATTCTAGTAGCAATTGCTTCCAGAGCAAAACACTACCAGGGACACACTCTAAGGTGAGCTAGAAGCAGACAGCACAGAGCAGGAACTAGCATCATGAAATCAGACAGCTGTCTGAGGGTCAGCAGCAAGCATTCCATGGACCACCAGCTTGAGAACCGCTGGGTTGGTGGTCATTTGGTTCAGGCTGAAGAGTCTCTTCCTAGGGACTGTTACCTAAATGAGAACTGCCTGTTTCTGACTGTTCAGAACAACAGAGCTTTCTTGCAAGTTAATGGCTCAATACAGCTGGAAAAATGTAAAAAGTCTATGTGAAGATTTCCAGTAGTTTAGAAAAACTAGTTACTTTTGCAGAGTGAAAGACCAAACTCCCTATGTTCCATTCTACCCCAGTGAAACTGGCAAGGACAGCACTGAAGAATTTAAGCAGGGTTTGAAGTTTGCTTGTCTGTTTTCCCATTTTGTACAACAAATAATCAAGCAACTGCCTCATCTGGCATCTGCACTCTCTGGCATTGCTGGTTTATCAGTTTTCTTCATTAGACAGTTCAAAGATTAAGATTTTTGCCTCTAAATCACTGGCCCAAGCCAGCCCAGATCAGGTATTTCATTGCCAGCTGACAGCAGCTCATGTGAAAAGAACCCCATTACAATTGGCAGCTTCCTTGCTAATCAGAGAAAGACCATGTGGGCATGGAGAATAAAAATGGGCACAGAGAATAAACAGCCCATTCATCTGTTATGGTTAGGCAAGTCTCAGCAACTAGCTGATTCCAAGCTTTTTACTCAGCCAGTAAGCACTACACCAGCAGCAGCCAGAACTTGACAGGCAGCTGATTTCCCTCTGAACTATCAGAGCGTTCTTGCAGTTTTCCATCCTCTGCACCACTTTGTAACTTCTGTGGGATGCAAGAGGGTACACTTTTGACAGGATTGTGGCTCTGGGGGTGGGGGTGGGGCAGAGGATTTAATCAGTTGTGGAGGATGGCATATGAGGCAAGTAGCACATTCCCTACTCTGATATGGGGCTGCAGGAAAGCCAGGGGCTTCACACACACACAGTCTGAATCCACGTTTCTTGCACTATCACATATCATTTAAGGTACAGACAATACTCTGTCATGCTTTTCTATCCTTCTTATGACTGATTGATAATTTTGTGTTACCCATAAATTAATTATTTTACAATGAGAGTGTTTTGGCCTCTTTCCTAACCTTGAAGGCTAGTTTTTAGCTGGTTCCTATTCTTTAAAACACATCTCGTTCTGGTGGCAGTTAAAACTTTCTCCAACTCTCCACAAAATACCAAGGTGAAGTTCCCAGGAAAAGCCACACCCTCACTGGATAAAGAATAACTCCAAGTCCAATTTATTCAAGCCTGCAGGTTTATTGTATATCCCTTGCAGAACTGGGGAGTCAAAAGGCTTGGATCTGGCAGGGGAAGAAGAGAGAATGGAGACTCTTTCAATTTGTTGAAGTCCTTGAGAGCAGTAAAGAATGGCTGGTCCAGCAACCCCCTTTGAGTTCTATTCTAATACAGACATGATCACTCCATAGTAGACATTTTCTCCCTGAAAGCTGCATGACTGCAGGCAGCTTACAAGTCATATCTTCACATTAACTCCAGTGCTGGTGCCAAGCACTGAAAAAATCATGAGTGAGAGACCTCAGAGAATTATGTGATTAACTTAAAACCGTGAGATGATTTAAAAAGAGAAAAAATTCACAATATTTTTCTTTCTTTCTTGGTTCTAAGCTTGTATGCACTTGGGTCATGCTTTTTTCCCTGCAATTCTAAAAGTTAAATATTTACTTTTTAGCAGGTGAGATTCTTTCATCACAGGGCTCCAGAAACTATGACTCATAAGAAGCTACACCAACATTAGACATCCACATTAGTTCACTTCTTTGCAGGCAGCTACTGTCTGTTCAGATAGGGCCAAACCCTTAAATGCTTACACTTCCTTTACTTTGGTAAAACTCCCATTCCCATCAAAGGAAGTTTTGCTTAAGTAACAAGACTGAAGGATTTGGTTCACCCTGCTGTTGTTCAATCTGTGGCCGCATTTGCTACAAAACAGCACATCTGCAAAAGCACTTCTCTGATGACCTGCACAGAAGAGCTATTCTTCCTTCCCTCTTTAATCTAAAGCTTCCAGGGTAAACAAATGAATCAAAACCAAATGTTACAGCTGTGCCCCACAAATTGGATGGGGGAGGATGAGAAGAAATGTACATGTCAGTGTATCCTTCTCACAGGAGTAGCTTATACAGGTTTAGTCTAATGAAATGGGTAATGAAACCAAGGTCACAGCAGGCTGGCAAGCACTTCAAAAACACCAATATAAAGATGCAGGTGCAAATGTGAGTAAAGCTATTCTTCCGAAAGACTGACACTAGGGGGAGCAAGAGCCTTTCAGTCAGCCCTAGCTCTAGGTTTTTGTCAGATGGCTGTCCACAAGGGTATAATGGAAACAAGGTAAATGTAGGTTTACAAGAAGGAGAGAATGCAAACTTTTAAAAAATGAAATAATAATAGAATATTAATGGATGAGAAAAGCAAGCAGAAAGCCAGTGCCTCCTGTAAGAAGCTGTAGTGCAGTATTTTCCAAAACAAAGAAGGAGAAAGCAGTCTGAAAATAAAGTTGTAGGGTCAGATATTCTGTTTGTGTAAACCAGTACCATTGCATTAGCTTCCATAAACCACAAGAATTTATCCCAGTGAGAACAAAGGCTTCATGAATTACCCTTTGGAAGCAAGTTTCTTTTGTTGTTATGAACGTCTCTGTTGTTGGAGGCATCACATTAGGAATGCTTGCCCTACAGTTAGAGAATATTTCCAAACAGTAGTTATAACCCAGAAAGCCCTCCCTTCTCTCCATTCCTCTTCAATAGTTAACTAGAAATAGCTATCAACCCCTACCTTTTAGTGGAGTTAGTTTTCTTAGTACAAAAAAGGCTGGTGTAAGTGACAAGCAGCGTGATAACTGTGCTGATGCTTTAGCTCTATGATGTATATGTTTTCTGGAATGCAGCAAAGTAAGCTGGGTCCTACCAGTTTCCAAGGCCATAATATTCTGTAATAGTACTAAATACTTTTGCTTATGGTGTGGCAGTCTGATGCTTGTGAACAGGAACAGACAAGGCTTAAAGAGAAAAATCAGGACACACCCTCTTCCCCATACCAAACCCTGTAGAGTCTGAATGACAAACTGGGATAATTTTAAGGAAGAGGTGGAGGACTTTAGAAGTATAAACACACACAGAAGAGAGACAGAGGATGTTTGTGAAAGCCAAAGGTATATCCAGGGAGGGGTACAGCGCTACCATAGTCGGGGGGGGGGCTATGTGCCACACCCCCCTTTACTTTTAGAATTGCAGGGGGAAAAAAAAGCATGAACCACTTCTAGATCTGCCTAGGGTGGGAAATATTGACGTTTCAAGTTTTTCTTTCAAAAACATCAGTGACAATGGATCAGATTGTTAAAACTCGCCACGTTTTGGCACCCAGCACTGTTTCTAATCATAGCCACACCCATTTAGAGCATGTCTCTACTGCCTCTGTAGCAAGTCCAGGAACACAGCCTAGAAGCAATCTCCCCATTCACTCACTCCCACTCTACTCATGCCAGAGCCTGCAAACTGGGCAGCACAACTATTTTAGTACAGCCCTAAGCATGTACTGAGTATCCTTCTTGACATGTGCTCTGATCCATTTTAAGAGGACTACGATGTCCAGTGCAAGGGTTTGGTAGGCACAGAGAAGGAGAGAGTGGGCAGCATGCGCTTTTATTAGTGCAGACATGACATTAGACATCCAAATGCCTGCCATGTAAATGCAGTCAAAACATGTATGTACAGGATCTGATCCAATGGCTCACTGTAGAAAGCTTCACACTAACATCTACATGAGCTAAAATGCATCTCCAATTCATTTTGGGGGAAAACGTGAGTCCACCATTCCTGAATCTGCAGATTTAACCACAAAAAAAGTGGTTGAATACCAATGGACTAAAAATCTACTTTCTGAGAATCACTGCCACATGTAGGTTGTTTGGTGGATAGGAGTTGTTTCTCTTAGGCTCAATAGTAGGGGAGCCTGGGACTGGCTACAAGCCCCTAGCATCTCTCTTAAATATACCTCAGCCACAGTAGAGTAGGTATCAAGTAATATGTGACATGTCTACATGTGACCTTTAATGCAGATTAACCTACTTTAACGTACATTGATGCACATTTAATGCACTGAAAAAAACTTGCTATTTAGTTAATGCACAGTAAAATAGGCCAATGTGCATTACACATTGCTTAAAACCCATGGGCAGTTTTATATATGAACCAGGGGTGAAGGGGTGGTGCTTTAGTTAGAGTGGATCTGAGAGCCACTCTAATTAAAGCACCATTGCGTCTCATGTATCAGCATTCTTGCACTGCAAAATGGCGGTGAGGGCACTAGAACAAAGCTCATTCAAAGAGCTTTAGTTCAAGCGCTCCCACAACCATTTTTAAGCATGGGGATGCTGATACACAAGACATGGGAGGCTGCTGGAGAGCAGTAAATTGCCATGCTTCAGCAGACTCAATTAAGTCTGCTCCGACATGCTGGAATTCCTGACATGGTGGAGAGCAGCCTCCATGCCTGTGTATAGGGTACCTGTGCTCTTTACTTAATGCACATTAAGACAGTCTAATGCATATTTTCCTAGTACCTCATAATGGAAGTACTAGATTTAATGCACATCAACTAAAGCATGTTAATTGCAAATGTAGACATGCCCACAAATTGCAATATGATTTTCTGATGAGACTTATTTTCACAGCTTAATTAAACTTACAGTTGAGTTCTCCTGGGGAAAGAAGAAGAGAATTTGGTTCTACAGCCACACATGCTTCAGGCCAAATTCATCCTTAGTGCAACTCTTCAGTTATACAGAGGATCAATTAGGCCTCTTGTTTTGTAATGGCTTGTTCCAACATCTACAGATTACAGTTCAGAGTACAGAATGTGTCAGCACCTGTGCCTACAAAAAGAAATTAGAGACCTATATAAAAACAATTCCCAAGTTCTGGTAACAGTCCCTTTCATTATCTCTTATTTGAAAGAAACCTTATCAGTGCCTGTCAGCAGCCAGCCTGTATTCCTGTCTCCTGGCAGCAACAGCTTTAGCAAATGTCATAATTAAGCCTTGTATCTAGTATTTCTTTTATATATGCTTGTCCTGCAGATTTTCATTAAAAGCCTCTCAACATGAGCCAGACCTGCAAGCTACACCCAAATGAAGACCTCTCCCACGGGCACTTCAGAATAGCCCAACTGCCTACCCAAATCTTCTGAGGATGAGATGAACTGGGCAGTCACTTCAAAGGAAAGAATACCCTAAGAATCCTTTTTGGAGCAATCTTTAATTGTTTTACTGTGTGGCAAGGTGGGGCTCCCTGACTAGCTACAGTGTTAGTTTCCCCACTTACTTTGAGCATGCCACCCAACTGTCTTGCCCTCCATGCCTTGTTGGTAATTAAGTTAATTAAGGCAGGAGGCTGCCATTCTGGCCCCAATGCCAGGGGGCACCATCTGCAGTTCCATTCCTCCCCTACACCACAGCCCAAGCCTCACAGATGGCATCCAGATGACAATATGCTCCCAGCCTACAGCCGGACCAAGCTTAGGCCTCATTGTCAGGCCTCAGACACACACACTTATGCTGTCCTCCCCTCACTAGGGCCTCTCACACTCCACCCTCTCTCACAGGGTCTCTTTCACATGTCGACAACTTGTACTGCCTTGCTCCCTCTTGTAACACTGCAGGATGCTTAGACAAGCACTTTCCTAACAATATAGTATTGTTATAAGATATATAGCTCATTGTGTAAGAAAAACAGGATGCAGACCACCAGTTATCATTAGGAGATAAAGCAGAAGTTAAGACCTTGGAGATGGTGAAGTAATCAGCAAGAGATGGCAAGTGACTGAGAGAAGCAGGGGTCAGGGTCTTGGGCATGCATTCTTAGCAAAAAGACATGTAAATACGTGAAATGCATAGGTAATTCCATGCTAATTAAATAAACAGTAAACAGAGGTGGAGCTTAAGATGGGAAAGAATAAGGGTGGAACAAAGGTGGGGTAAATGCTAATAAGCATAAACCAAGGTGTGTAAATATAGAAAGAACTAATGGTCGCTGCAGCTCCCCGGTTTGTTGGAGCTAGCCCGAATCTGTCTCCATTTTGAATACAGCTGTTGGAAGAAGCAATGTGTGCACTGTTCCATTGTCTCCCTAGTCATTGGGCATCGCATGGAGTCGAGGTCTAGCAGTGTACACCACACAACTGAATTTTGAATTAAAGGACAAAATCCTCATCTCTCATTTCAGCTGCTCTGCATCAGGGATAAGAGAAACCCCAGCACACCTCCATGCCATTCAATTCCAGTTCTCCCAGTGTAGGGGGAGACTGTGGAAAGGATGTGGCATGGCTAAAACACTTTGCCTAGGTATCACAATAGTTTCCAGGGCACTGTAAGTATCAAACATAATTTAGAGCAGCTGCTCAAAATTATATTGCATGAGAAAGGTCATTTGGGACCAACTTTATCTCCCATTCCTTTTGGGTTCTCTACCACGTACGGCTCACTTGATCAAAGGGTTCTGGCCCATGCAGCACTAAACCCAATGTTGTAAATTCCATTATTTAAAAACAATTGTTCTGGTTTTATTGGTTGGCTTTCTTGCACTCATTTGTCTAACTACTCACCCCTGAACTGTCCACTTCTTTCTGTCTCCATAAGGAACAACACCTTTCATTACAGCCTCCACCCCAATGTACTGGCTGTGTGTGATACTCTTCCCATCCATTATCAAGTACGTATTCTCTTTGGCAAAGCTATATGAATATTGTTTTGATATGTATTATTTTTATATGCATATTCACACATTTTGTTATCCTGTGCAGCTATATCTCTAGATGCAAGAACAGTGGTGATGCATATTTCAGATGACAAATACAGCAATCGCCCCATTTGTGTATTTAGATGATAAGAAGCCAGGGTACAGGGAATTTCAGCTTTCATATTTCATAATGTAAGGTTAGGCATTAGGAGTCAATTTCCCTAAAAGATGTGCACAACTCTTTTTTGGGGGGGGATTTTACACTTACATATGAAGCAGCTGGCACTGGCCACTGTCAGAGACAAGATATCAGGGTAAATAGGCCAGTGATCTGATGTGGTATGGCAATTCCTATATTCCTATCATGTGAAAGTAAAGAAAAAGTTTGCATGAGACCCATAAAGCTGAATCCACAGAGCTTCATGCCTTTCTGCACAGAGGTACTGGTATACTAAGAAAACCCGGTAGAAAGGTAGAGATAATAAAGCACCCCATATCTGTTCACCATAAGGACTGAGTCACTTCTCACCTGCAACTTGGCAGATAATGGTAACATTTGCTCCTTGGATTGTTTTCACTGTGCTTCCAATGTCAGCAGTAACAGCAGGCAAGTCTGTGTTGATCACAATAGCTCTTGATGCCTTTATCAGTGGTTTTCCTGTGTAAAAGAAAAACGGCAGTTCACAAAGTAAAGTACTCAACTTGTCACAAGGGGCAGACTCTAAACAACATGTCTGGCATGAAAGCAGAAGTAGACATTAAAGGACAGGAGTCCATCAGTGGGTAATGCCGGTGGATGGAGCCACCTGCTCCTGGCCTCTATGATATCATGAAGGAGTTGCTTGATTCCTTAGTTAAAGCTGCTTTGGAAAAAAAACAAACAAACCCAAATCAGAGACAGAATAGTATTAAAGTCAAGCCAGCACATATGAGAACCAGCTGAAACAATAAACAGCAATGCAACTGGAGCTGCAGCAAGCTGTTTGCCTTGATTCTGCAAGCCAGACACTACTTTTTGCCAAAGGCCAAACACAGGACAATGATGCCAAATGACGGATACCAGCACTGTAGTTGCACTGGAGACTTATAGCCACATGCGATCCGCTTC